TTCTTTATGTTCATTTCAGTAAAATATTTGGAAGAAAAATGAAATAGGTTAATGCTTTAATCTGTCATATATAGTGTCTTAATTACTAGTGATTTTTGATAAATTATTACATCTAATAGTTAAAATTATCTGTATTTTTCAAAAGTATTCAGACTATTTTAATAAGTATATTAATCCAGATTAGCTTTACAGTTTTTTTTTGAGGCAGGGTCTTGCTATATTGAAATATGCATATAAAAGTGCATGGATTAGGTCAGGGGCTGTAGCTCAGTGGCAGAGTGCTTGCATAGCACATGTGAGGCACTGGGTTCGATGCTTAGCACCACATAAAATAAAATAAAGACATTCTGTTAAAAAAAAAACAAGCAAATGATGAAAAAAGGAAAAAAGAATTTAAAAAAGGTGCATGGATTAAAGATGTATAGTTATGATTTTCTATAAAACCAACAAACTGTGTAATGAGAACCAGTATTCCAGAAAACCCCTCAGCATCCCTTTCCAGTCACTAATTTAGTCACTATTTCCCAAATACAACCACTATCCTAATTTCTAATTTTATATTATTTAAATCTTTCTCTATATAATGTGCCATAATTTATTTAAAAGTTCACTAATGATGGATATAGTTGTTTCCAGTATTCTTAAATTGTTACATACAACATCACTAGGAATATCTTATGCATGTGCTATTTCAAACACTTGCAGATGCATCTGAAGGAAAATTCCTAGGAATGAGTATTGTATTATAAATTTTGGTAGATATTTCCAATCTTTATGCCTTTAACTTCCTTTTCTTGTCTTACTGCACTGGCTAGAATTCCATCACTATGTTGAATAAAAGTAGTAAGAGTGGAAACCCTTGTCACCTTCTTGTTCTTAAGGGAAAAGTATTCAGTATCATATCATTAAGTATAATGTTAACTATAGTTTTTTGAAAAAATTTTACATGAATGATAGGAAACAAAAAGTTTACAAACTGGAAAGGAAGAAAACTTGTCCCTATTTCCAGATGACACAATTTACTTCATAGAAAATCCCAAAGAATCTACAAACAAGCAAAAAATAATCCCCCCAAAACCTAAAACTAGAAAGTGAGTTCAGTAAGATTGCAAGATATAAAATAAATATAGAAAATTGAGCTGTATTTTTATGTTCTAGCAATAACCACATAAATGCCAGGTTTAAAAAGCAATACTATCTACTGTTGCTTTCTCTTAAAAAAAATATGAAGAAAGAAAGAGAAAGGGAAAAAAAATAAATGCTTAGGTGTACAATTAGCAAAACATACAGGACTTGTATGCTGAAAGCTGCACAATGCTGATTAAAGAAATCACAAGTCACAGAAAATCTAAATAAATGGAAAGAAATATTGTATTCAAGGATCCAAATACTCAACATAGCAAGAATGTCCCTTCAGCTTGAACTTTTTAATTATGTTTGAATACTTATTTTAGTAGCTTTCCCAGGATTTTTTATACAAAAAATATGTTATATGTGAATGGAGATATACTTTTACCATCCAATATGGATGTCTTTTATTTCCTTTTATTACCCAATTTCCCTGTCTTGCATAATGTTGAATAGAAGTATTGAAAGAGGATAAAGCATCCAGTCTTTAACCTATAGCTATAGGTTTTCCATAGATGTCTTTTATTAAGTTGAGAAAGTTTCCTTCTAGGTTTATTGTCTTTTCCTTTCATCATGAAAAAAATAAATTGATAATACACTGAAGATATAATACATCTTAAAGATGATCATGTGATCTTAATTTTTTTAATTCTATCAATTTAGTGTATTAATTTATTTTTGGATGCTAAACTAACCTTGTATTTCCTGGTAGAAATCTCACTTGGTCATGGTTTATAATTCTTTTTACTGCCAGATTTGGTCATGTAGTATTTTGTCGAGAATTTTTGTGTCTACATTTCAGAAGAGATATTGCTTTAAAATTTTCTTTTCCTGTGTTTTTTCTAGTTTTGTTATCACTATAATATTGGCCTTATAAGATAAGTTGGGAAGTGTTCCCTGCTCTGCTGTTTTTTGGAAGATCTTGTAAAGAATTGGTGTCTAGGGGCTGGGGTTGTGGCTCAGTGGTAGAGCACTTGCCTAGCACATGTGAGGCACTGGGTTCAATCCCCAGTACAACGTGAAAATAAACAAAATAAAGGTATTGTGTTCATCTACAACTAAAAAATATTTTTTAAAAAAGAATTGGCATTCATTTTTATATAGTTGTTTTGTTGAATTCAGCATTCAAGCTACCTGGCCCTGGGCTTTTTCTTTGTGGGTAGGTTTATAATTACAGATACAATCTCTTGTTAAAGCTCTATTAAGGCTAGTATTTCTTCTTGAGTTATTTTAGTAGTTTGTGTCTTTCTAGAAGTGTATCCATCTTATATAAGGCATTATCTGATAAAAAAATGAAAACAGTTGAATTTGATCTATTTTGTAGACTGGTATATGAGTGTAAACTGAAAAAAAAGGTTAAATTTTATTTTAGTTGGGTATCCTGAGAATATTTTGAAAAAGTACATTTTAAAATTATAAGTCTAGGGATTAGTGATAAAGCTAGCTAGACTTTGGCTGCCTTTTCTAATTGATCCTGGATTCTTCACTTCACCCATTTTCTTCACTGAGTTTTCTTCCTCAGTTGTGTTGATATCTCCTTGAGTTAGTTCTGCTTCCTCACATGTTGAAGTATAACATTAGAGAAACATGCAGAGGCAAGCATATACAACAGGGAAAAGGGGTAACATAGTCTTCTCCTGGGAGGGAGAAGAGGGCCATAGCTGGTATCCCCAAATTTGAGGTGTTCTGCCTGTTTTTTATGTCCTAGGCTTTCTTTGTTCTGCTCTCTTCCCCTTATCTCTCTCTTTCCTGTGACGAGGTCCAGGAGGCGCTCAATGGGATGGCCAAAAGGTGAGAAGCGGTTGGAGGAGGGGGTCATGGATGAAGCAGCCCAGGACACATGAATTAACAATTTTATAACTCCATGTAGGGAAGAGCAATTCCTGGAACAGGTTAACTTAGCAACAGTTTGGAGCTGGGGCAGATTATCTTGCTAGGGTGGAGGAAGGGCTTTGAAGGCTGTTCAGTCCCTCAGAGAGCAGTCTCCAACTTCACAGGCTCACTCAAATTGGCCTCCTAAAGCTGTCCTGACCTGATTTACCTATCTATACTGACTGCCTGTCTAATTCTGGCTTCAGTGTTAGCACTTGCTAGGGCTGCAAGACTGAAGCTGTTATGCTTTGGATTTTAAATCCAAACCCAAAGCTCACATGTTAAAGGCTTGGTCCACCAGGCAGCACTGTTCAGAGGCACAGCCTTTGGAAGGTGATTGGATAGTGACCATTCTACCCTCATCAGTGGCTTAATCCATCAGTGAGTTCATAAAGTAAAGGAAGTAAAGCCTATTTGGAGGCGATGGATCCTGGAGGAATGCTGGGGAAGGCTACATCTGTCCTCTTGTCTCTTCTCTCTGGTTCTTGTTTGCCATGTGGTGAGCCAGCTTTCTTCCACTAGGCACTCCTAACTGATGTTCTTTCTCATCACAAGTTCAGAAACAATTAAGCCAAGTTGACTGATGGACTGAAAAACCTCTGAAACCGTGAACCAAAATAAACCTTTCTTGCTTTAAATTGTTTATCTTAGGTATTTTGTCACAGAGATAGAAATCTGAGTAACATACAGGAGGAGATTTTAATAAGGGCACTTCACATTCAATTCTTCACCTAAACAGACCCCCCTCCACCTCCTCAATGAGAAAGAGACAGAGACAGGGCCAGGGCCGAGAATAAGAAAACAGAGATATTATTTTCTACCTCCTTGCCTCTAGGGCTAAAACATAAAATTATCAGTGAGCTTCTCTTTCACAACCATTAAAACTTTTGTCCCTAGCACTAGCAAGTCTGTTTGCATCATTCCTCAAATATTAACCAGTAAATGAGCTTTGCCAGAAAATAATAATGAGGGGGAAACATCAAAGAACAATAGTGGTCCTCCCAATCAGCAACCTTTCTTTAGGTCGTCAGTAATCTTCCTTTAGCTATACAGGAACCAGAAACTCTTGGTGACCTGTGGACAACATCCAAACCATGTCAAAAGAATTGATTACTCAGCTGGGCACGTGGTGGCGCAAGCCTGTAAGCCCAGCGATTCAGGAGGCTGAGGCAGGAGGATCACAAGTTTGAGGCCAGCCTAAGCAAAAATAAGGGGCTGGGGATATGCTCAGTTGGTACAGTGCTTGCTTTGTATGCACAAGGCCCTGAGTTCAATCCCCAGCATCTCAAAAAAAAAAAAAAATAAATAAATAAAAAGGGCTGGTGATTTGGTTCAGTGTAAATTGCCCTGAAGTTAGATCCCCAGTACAAAAGCAACCAAACAATAACAACAACAAAACCCCCACTACCACCAAAATTACCTCCCCATTGATTACTCCACGAATTAAAAGACCATTTCAGTGTCCACTTGGCTGTGGGTAAAACTGGACTCCCTGCATTTGCACGTATGACCACTAAATGGAATGTGGGTGAAAGGCCTCTCCCTTTTCCACCTGCCAGTTTATTGCCAATAAAGCTTTCTTCTCCCATTCCTGTTATTGTCTTAGCCTATGGGAGCCAGACTTTTCACGTTTACAACCAAGTGGAGAACCTCCTCCACATCCTACGCGATCTTCCTGCACTTCATCCAACAGAATCCAGTCTTGCCCAGGGCTTTGCCCAGCTATGGCTGATGTCTGCTAGGTGGAGCGCATGCGCGGCATTGAGGGCTCCTTGTTAGCTCTTTTCCACCCAAGCGGTGGGGGAGCGGTTTCAAGGCCAATGGGAACTACAATTCCCACCATCCTGTGCGGTGCGGGGAGGGCAGACCCGGAGTGTACTAAAGAGGCTCCGGGGTATAGCGGGCCTGTGAGGACCGCTGCTCTTTTCCTAGTGGTTTGCGTCTCGTGCTGCCTGCGGCGTCAGCTGCGTCAGCGCTCACGCAGGGGCGGGTCAGGGTGGTGCAGGGCGGGAAGGGAAGTCGTGGCGGAGGCGGCAGTGGGGACAGCAGTGGCTGCTGCAGCGGCGGCGGCAGGGACAGCAGTAGTGGTGGTGCTGTCAAGCTGTTGGAGAAATGGGAGACCCAGGGTCGGAGGTGAGTAGCAGAGCCTTGGGCCTTTGCGTTCTGGGAGCCGAACCGCGGAGGGTTTCGAGATTGGTGGGTTGAGGCCTGTGCTCGGCCGCAGCCTCGGGGCGCTGCGCCTCAGCATCTAGGGCGGAGCGGGGCCTTGGGGCCTGCTGCTTGCGTGCGCCGGGAACCGGCGGCAACAATGGCCGCCCGGCCGCCCCCGGCCCCTGAACTGGCCCCGAGTTCCTGCTGCCGCCGCTCTGCCCCGGGAGCCCAGCGATGGCTGAAGTCAGGATTGCCCTTGGGTAGCGAGCTTGCATCCCTGCTCCTGGAGTAGGTGGGGACCTTCTGAGCCCTGGTCACTCCTTTTCGAGGGCCATTCACTACAGCTGCACGACGCCTTAGCAAAACCGAGCTCCCTCGACTCAGTTCTTCGTGGCGTTTGCGTGCGTTTGTGCTCAGTTTCCGTCCAAGCTTTTGTCTCAGTCGTCCTTTTTGGAAAAATCTCTCCCTACAAGTGTGTGGCTGAATAGATAAGCATGTTTTGGCTTATTTTTGTAGATAATAGAATCTGCCCCTCCAGCTGGGCCTGAGGCATCTGAATCAACAACGGATGAAAACGAAGATGACATTCAGTTTGTTAGTGTAAGTAGCTACTGATAATCGGGCTTTTCATTCAACGAATAGTAAGGATGTCTTCTGGGTGGTGGACACTTGGGATATGGTGTAGGATAAGGAGCTTACCAGGAAAGGTATCTGAGCCACCACAATAGTCATCACAAAGAGCATGGCCTATTGAACGTGTTGGGCTCTTATTGAGGCCTCCGATGCCCTCATTTGGATCCATTTTATGCTTACTCTAGACAAAATTCTGGTCTCTGTAAACTTACAGACTGTGTGATTTTAAATGGGGGCAAGAATGCCTTCTCAAAGGTGACACACAGGACTAGGAGGGAGGGCTAATGGCAGAGAGGTGGAAAACAAGGTGTGTAGGAACTCAGCTTGAGGACTTCACTAACCTCTGAGATCATCATGTTACAGCATAGTGCAACAATTGCACATAATGAATCCTGCATCACCAGGAGCATGCTATCTTTTCTGTTTTTGTCCTTTGCCACAGGCAGTAGTTTTCAAGTGTTAGGAAGTAGAAACTTTCAAATTCTTGAGCCCAACTCCAGATTTACTGAGTCAGAAAGAAATTCAAAGTCGGGCTTAGGAATCTCCATTTTTGAACAAGTTCAGGACATTTGGCTCTCTGAACACAATAAAGCTTTGATGTGGGAAAAACAGCATGTGGTGTATTTTGGGTGATTTTTATCTGTAGCTGTTAAGTTTTTACAGTGACTCTGCTTAAAGCTATAGAGAATCCTTCCCCATACTCTCTTTTGGAATGAAATAGTTGTAGTTTTTATAATTTTTCTTTGTACATCTGTTGTGTATTTGTGGATGTTGTTGGCCAACTATATAAAAGTGGTTATTGAACAATATTTTCCCCAACATTGGGCCATTGTAGTGAACTGTTGTTGTATGGTGTTTTAATATTTGTTGTGAAGGGACTCCTTTCCAAGATTGTTTTCTTGACTTTGTTCCCCATTGCCAGTGCCCATTGTACTATATCATTTTTGTCTAGAACTTTAAGAATTTGGGGTGAGTGCATTATATCCTGCTACTTTCTTCACTCTGTACTGAAGTATTTTTTGTTGGGGCAGGATGCTGGAGATGGAACCTAGGGCTTGGGCACTCTAAGCATGGGCTGAAGTATGTTTTGTTTTTTGGTGCTGAGGATTGAACCTAGGGGTACTTTACCATTGAGCTACATCCCACTCCATCCTCCTTTTTTTTATGGAGTCAGGGTCTTGCTAAGTTATTTAGAGCCTTGCTAAATTGGTGAGCCTGGCCTTGAACTTGTGATCCTTCTGCCTCAGTCTCCAGAGTTGCTGGGATTACTGGTATGTAGTAATTCGCCTGGCTAAAGTAAGTTCGATAATAGGATTTTATGGGTTCTTAGTCACACATTTCCATTTTTTTGGAATCTGTATATTTGTGAACAAACTATTTACTTTGATGTCTCATGCAAATAAAATTAGGAATAATACTCTGAAGTTTTGAAAAACAGACATATAAAAATAAGGTTCAAAGAATAAATTTTTTTTTGTACCCTGTGAATGAAGAGTTGCATTATAGCTTGTAACTAGTTATTATAGGGTTTTGTTTAGCTTAAACGTAGTCTTTTAGTTTAAATTTTATTTTAAAATAGAAAGTTACTAATATCTTTGCAGGAAGAATAAAGAATGTACAGTATATTGAACTTGATACTCTCTCTCTCTTTCTCCAGATAAAGATTCAGTGATTTGACTGCTCTAAATGGAAAATGAATTACATGTTTTAAGTGTGGTTAGAATACTAGAAGAAACCTATTAAAATACATTTCTTTGTGTTTAAGTGGTAATGCTTAAATGACAACCATACCTTAATAATTAAATTTCAGAGGCAGAATCTTGTACTTTTTTCTGTAACCCAGTTATACACTTGAGTCCTCCATGTAATGTTTAATCCAGCAATGATGAAAAATAGTTACCTGCTTGAGTTCTTAAGATAGCAAAAAGTGCATTATGTGATCACTTCTTGATACTCTGGTTTGGATTTCTTAGCCTCGTTCAAATCTAATTTTCCCACCTTGAATTTACAAGGTGGCACAGCAGACTTTCTGTGGTTTGCAAAATACTGAACCTGAAGCCAAATACAATATACAGATGTGGGGATATGAAAATGAGCCCATTCATTTAAATTGTGTTGAAATACATTGAGATGTTGCCAGTTCAGTAAGTGTACTTATTTGATTGATTTTTACAAGGCCAATATACCCGTTTGAACAGTGCCCAAATGAAGAATGGTATTCTAACAAAATTTTTTCATTTAGATCTGTTACTTGCATTTTCTGTGTAGTAATAATGCTTCTTTTATTCAACCACCAACTTTGTGTCTTTCTTTGAAACAGTAGGTCTTTTCTGATTTGCTTCCAAATAAACTGTTCAGCTAATAGCTGTTGTTTCTTTTGCCACTATAAATATAAAGGTATAAAAATTGCTGAGGGAACCTATTGTAAGCTTCATAACAGCACAGAAGATGTCAGTTTTAGTCAGGATTATTGATTTATATAAGCTCATTGAAAATGTGGGAATAATCAATAATGTCAAGACAGAATTTCATAAATAACTTGAGGGGCCTGTAGTTAAAAGTAAATACTAATACAAGGGATTTTTGCAAAAAGTGAGGTTATCTTTTGCTGATTTCTTGCATTGTAATTCACTTATTAAACAAAAGTAGTGTTGCAGTTCATAGTGCATAGCTGTGAGTGAAGTACCTTAGACCTAAATAGATTAATTGGAAATATATTCTACCCTTAAATATCAATATTTTAGTGGAGGTGATGAGATAGGAGAATTAAGTAAATAACTCAAAGTGATAGTAGAAAGATGTTTTATAAAGAGTACTTAGTGCTTTAAAAATGATTTTTAAAAGATTTTACAGTTTGTCACTGTAGCATAGGTGGTAGTTTATTGTATATTTAATGGTTATTTGTATACATTTAAAAGGGCAATTTGGAAAGTGGGTAAACAGGATTATGTGTGCTTGGAGGATGAAATATTTTTGTTTTTAAAGTGGGGCCAATGATACAGAACTTGAGTGCTGGACCAAATTTAAATTATAAAGTAGACAACTGGGAGCCATTTGAAATCTTGAACTGGGTAGGGCTGCGGAAGTAAAATAAGCCCCTACTTTCCTATATGGAATAAACAACAACACATTATTTAGGGTTTTAGGTTAGGTTTTTACTTTTACACTTAAATCATAGTCCTTGTTTTAGAGAATTCTTTGTTTGAATTAAACTAGTTTTTTCTGTAGGCCATATTTTAATGTATTAATCTCTCTTTCCAAGTAGAAAATTGGTGTTTGCACTCTGAGAATCAAGTTTTCTAATTACAGGAATGAAAACTTTTTTTTTTTTTTTGTTAAAAGTATATTTTTAAAAATTACAATGTTAGTTAAACTGTGTTCCTCAAATGTTTTGTCATGCTTGTACATGTGCCTCTACTGCTAACTTGTATGGCATTAGAAGTTGAATCCTTATTGGTATCAGAGGGTATGAGGATGATTTATTAGTTAATAGCATAAATTCAAATAAAAAATAGCTGGAGTTGCTAAGGATAAAATCATAAATATAGAGATTTTTTTCCTTGGTATTTGCATTATAGGCATTACTTTTTGGGTATTAGTAGTAGTTTATGTTTGGTCAGTGTTATAATATTCAAAAATGGGGGCAATAGCAGGTAGTCCCTTTTTTCTTATTGAAGGAAAAGAAAATATGTTGTCTTGGAAACAAGTAATAATCATTGGTTTAAAAATAGGATTATACTTTCAAATGTCTCAGAATTATAGTGAACACAGAACCAGTTATGCGTTTAGATAACCATGTGTACCTCAATAAGTTTTATCCTCTTTTAAATGGGATAATTCAGAATCTCACTTTTAAAGCGGTTGAGAGGATTGGGATGAGATAATGTGCATGAAGTTTATTACAGTGCTTGATACAGGGCTTAGTAAATGTTATTTAGTAGTAAAATAAACGGAGGACTGAATATTTGATAAGTTTATGGTGGAAGTTTTGTGAATTTATAGTGAAAATTAACTAGAGAATAATGTATCTATGTATAAACTTGTCTTTCCTTTTTCATTTAGCCTATGCATTGTTTGTGTTTCCTTTCTCATTCTACATTTGTAAATCAGTAATTATTTGTTGAGTGAACGGATATTCTAATTCACAATTTTGATTTTTTAAAATTTCGATTCTTTTATTTTTCTGTCTTAATTACTATGAATTGTATGGAATTGTCTTTTATAGTTTGAAAATGGTTCATTCTAGTAAATTTCTGATAGTGGTCTCACTGTCCCTGCTCTTGGTCTTTCTTCTATTTCTGCATTTTTAAAAGTATGTTTTGTTGTTGAGGCTGTTTTGTGATATTGAGGATTGAACTCATGGCCTTGCATGTGCTAGGCAAACACTCTTATAAGAGTTACACCCCGAGCCCCTTGTAGCTACTTTTTGGTCTGATTTGTGACCATTTTTTTCCCTTATTACATTTTTTTTTTCTTGCCTCTTTGACTTTGCCTTATGTCTTATTACCTTTTGTCTCCCTTTTTTCTTTATCTACTTTCTGTTCATGGAAATTCTGCCCTTGCCTCTGTATTTCTGGCTACTTGGGGACTTTCTTCTTTACTACTTACTCTAATGAAAGGTCCTAAATCACATTTCTTGAGAGGAAATGATGTGAATGGGAAAAGTGTTACATTTTATCTCCTGCTTCTTTCTTGAGTTGAAAATATGATTTTGACTTAATATCAGGGTTAGGTTTTAGACTTTTTAAAAATTTTTATTTCTTACATACATGACAATAGTGGAATGCATTACAATCATAATTATCCATTCACAGCACAATTTTTCGTAACTCTGTGTATAAAGTATGTTCATGCCAAATAGGTTTTAGTCTTAAGACAGGTAATGTAGCTTTATTGACCATATATTTGAGAATATCTGTTCTCCTGTTCTTTTCTTCTGTTCTCCTTGCCTTTCCTTTCCTTTTTCTTTTACTTCTCTTTCTCTTTTTCATCTTTACAACTTTGAGCAAAAATTCTCATTCTTAATTGCAGTTCCCTGCCTAGAAGTTTTGCCCATTGATTTTCTCTTAGTGTCTGGATCACTGCCCAAAAGGTTAGCAGTTTTCCAGTTGGGCAGAACTCATAGCCTAGGAAGAAAAAAGCCATCTTGCTGCTTTTCGGGGGAAAAAAAAAAAAGAATCATTAACTAGATATCTAGTCAGCAGCTGTCTCCATTTTAAGAAATCTTTTTCTCTCAGCCATATTTTTCTCCCATGTTCCTTTTTTTTGTTCCTTCCTAAATTTCTTGAAAGAATAATCTTTACTAATGATCCTTTCTACCTCATTCTCTTCTTACTTTTTCTACATTCTCTCTGGTTTCTGTGCTCATTATTTTATTTAGCATTGCTATCTGAAAGACATTTAAAAATGTACTGTTGCCAAATTTAGTGATATCTTCTTGGAACTTAATGTTTCTGGCCACGTTTAGCATTGATTATTATTCATTGAAGCAATATCACAGTTTCAATTTAGTTCTAGAGTTTAGTAGTATTTTAGGGGAGCAGCTTCCAAATATCTTATTTGCAGGTATGTTCATATCCCAGGTTATAAGCCTGCATTTGCAGCTGTTTGCCAGATACCTCTGTGTACCACTGGTATTTCAGTCAATATGTCTAAAAAAAAAACCCATCAGCTTTCTGTTCATGCATTGTGGATTTATATTAATGGCATTAGTATTCTGGCCACTGGAGCTTAAAACCTCTTTGACTCTTTGGTTTTTATTTTGTATTTAATAGCCAGTCCTCTTCCCCCCCCCCCCCCTTGTGTTACTCATAGTCTCTTCTATATCTGTTCCATCATTTCTTACCATCACCACTGTTCTGTATTATTATGTACCTGTAGCTCTCTGTTATCTATTTGGCTTTGCCTATGATTCCTACTATTCTATGAGATTAATCTTCCTGAAGCACAGCTCATAAGTATTTTGCTCTTTTCCCTATAGAATAGAACATAGGTTTTTAAGCTTGACATTCAAAGCCTGGTCTATGAAAATGTCAGCATGAATGGAAAGAATCTGGGTTTGATGTTTAAATCTGTTGGATTGGGAGATGAAACTAAGCTGTTGGTCAAAGATATCTCCATATTTCGACTGTCTTTTTTTTTTTCTTGTGTGGTGCTGAGGATTGACAGGGCCTTGCAAATGTAAGGCAGGTGCTTTACCACTGAGCTATATCACCATTCCTTGAGCTTGGATATCTTAACGGACTGTTGATACCCATCCCAACTAAGAAACATTGGATTGCAGTGTTTGTGTCTTTTTTGCACTATTCTTGTATTTATTTTCCTTTTTACAAGCAATTTTTATGGCCTTAATACTCTGTAGGAGTTTAGGCTCTTTTTTTAAGTCCTATCATCATTTTTTATTTACACACACTGAATATTTTCCTGTTTCTTTTGTTCTAGTTATTTCTGCTACCCACAAGGCTTCCTCTTCAGAGCCAATCCCAACTGAAAAAGTAAAAACAATAATAAAAAAGTCATTGTTTAAAATGCTATTTTGGTTTAAGTAACTGTTCATGACTGGTAAATTTACTCAATTCTTTTATAGGAAGGACCATTAAGACCTGTTCTTGAATACATTGATCTGGTCAGCAGCGATGATGAAGAACCTAGCACCTCTCATAGTGATGTAAGTATATTACATTTGATTTGCATTTTTTAAAATCAGTGATGGCTGTGTTTAGGAACTATTGTGCCTTAGAGAATGGCCCATTTCTGTTAAAATGGGCCTTAATAGGTAGTCTAGAAGTCTTTTGTTAAGAACATCTCCTACTCCAATTTTGTTCCGTTATCTCACTGAGGATGTGAAAAGTTAAAATGGTTCTAGGAAGTTCTAAGCCCTAGAAATGATATATAATAAAAGGAAAATATAATAACAGCTGTGGTTTTGTGGCTCCTCTTGCCTTTTTTCTTTTCTGTGCTTTCCTCTGGTGCCCTGTAGAACTGGATCCCTTTCTTCCAAAACTGTGGCCACAGAAAACTTGTTTTATCTCATAAGAAAGGATATCCGAAGATCCTTTAGGAAATAATGTGGGAAGGGGTTTATAGTTCGTGTATAACTTTAGTCTACATCCCTTTTAACCTCCTCTTTCCCCCATGTATTTGAAATTATTCATCCTAACTGACTTGCTAGTTGTGGGTTTGATCATTAAATCAGTACTTTCTTACTCTGAAAATTAAATTAATTGAATTCCTTTGTCATAGTCTTGCCTTTGATTTGACTTTGCCTTAGCCCAAAATTTTAGGGCTGTTTCTTGATGGATTAGAGAACTCCTAACACTTGCTCATAGTGGCCAGAAAGCTTCTTGCTCTGTGATAAAGGGGGTTGAGACTTGGACTTGGAATCAAAATACCTGAGTTTGAGAGCCAGCTTTACTCCTTACTAATTCTGTGAGTTTGTATCAATTAAGAAACCTTTTAGCCTCAGTTGTGTTTGTTTTTTAATTAGATGAAAATAGTACCTACCTCACAGGGTTGTTGTGAGGAAGAAATAAGGTAACAACTATGTAAGCTCCTTCAAACTAGAAACCATGAAGTAGGAACATACAACTGGAAAGTTTTGAAAATTCATGGAAAGTGAATGACCAAAAATTTTTAAACGGGCTTAAAAATGACTAATAAGGGAGTTTTAGAACAACTTTTTTCTTCTTGGTGAGACATTCCTCAAGTTTTCTCTGCCATCATTAGCTCACACTTACTGACTTATATATGTTCAGTGGGGTTTTTCTTTTATTAATTGTTGTTACCTGGTCTCATCATTCTGTCAACACAGGACCAAGCAACAAGCCAGGGTAGCACCACTTTGAATTTAGCATATGTTTACCTTCTGCTTTTTAATAGCCAGAGCTCCATATTAATGCCCAAAGTTCATATTGGGGCTTGGGGTAGTGAAGCTTGTGGATTTGACTTCTGTTACCTCTTTACTGACCTGTAGTGGATATGTCTTTCATTTTTATTTATAATAATTTAAAAATTGATTCTACTTACTGGACATGCATCTCTGCACTTGAAAGTTAACATATTAAAAGCATATTTTTTTTCTTCCTTGGTTTTTTGTTCATGTGGATAACCCAGAGAATGCCTGAATCTAAGGTGCCATCCTCTGAGAATCATCGCCCAGAAATGTGCTCTAGCTGCAATGTTCTTCTTCCCATTGGAGACAGCAGCTCCTCCTCTGGGAGTTGTGCCAACAGTCCACAAAAGACAGTTTCTCAACCTTCTGCTGTTGAGAACCCATTGGAGAAACAGAAAAATGATCAAAATCATTCAGATATTAAGATCTCTGAGACAGAGGCACTTAAATCATCACAAAATTATCAGACTCTGCCTTCATCTCCACCTCTGGTCTCCCAAGAGTCTTTGGCCTCTTCTGAGGACAAAGAAGATTTACCTTTAGAATCTTCTTCAGCTTCACAACATGGACAGGATGCCATCCTCTATCTCCAGACACAAGTAGCTGAGATGTCCAGAGTGATACGTGATCTGCAGTCCCGGAGCTGTTTTAGATTTCATCATTCTAGGCCAAGTGAGAATTCCTCAGTTCCTTGGGACATCTCCACCTCTAAGGAAGAAAATTTATCCACAGTTGAAGAAGAAACTGATTGCAAATCCCCATCAGCAGATGACAAAGGGCAGCCAACTGACCCCACCCAATCCAGTTTCACAGGTCTTCTGAAGAGAATGGAACAAAGAGGTGTTATAAAGAGGGTAACCTTACAATCTGAAGCAGAATCCTGTGAAGGGAAACCTGATTGTGTGACCTCTAAAAAACGCTTGGTTCCTCCCTTGCATCCTCTTTTGAGAATTGCCACCACTGAAGTTTTTAAGGACCCTGCTGATTGCCATCCTTCTTCCTTCATGGGACACAGGGTGTATCCTGTGGCCAAGGATACCTCTCCTTTCCAACCAAATCCACCAGCTGAGGGCCCCATTGTAGAAGCACTGGAGCACAGCAAAAGAGGAAATACAACATCTCCTCTAGATTCTACCTCAAAAGAAATGGAGATCATGGGTTGTAGGTTCTACCATGCTGCCTCCATTGCAGCTCGAGCTGCTAGCTACATGGCCTATATGACTCAGTATCAGCGTAAACTCTGGGAAGACATGGAGGATCTGGTTCATGATCCTGAGTTTGATCGTGGAAAAGCAAGGTGTATAATATCTGATGGTATGGACGCAGGTCTTTGGCAACTTTGTACTACTAGGGACATAATGGATTCTGTAGTTAGAGTTATGGCCATGGCAATTGATTACAGGAGGCAAGCCTGGCTCCGACTTACATCTCTCACTAAGAAAACCCAGGAAAAGATCTCACACTTACCCTTTGATGGTACTTCCCTTTTTGGACAAGATGTGAATGCTGTTGTTGCAGAAGAAAACAGTATTAAAGAAAATGACTATAGGGATCACAGTAAATACTACAACCAGCATCGATACTTTTATAGTCATGATCAGAAAGCACATTATCACAATAGAGGATACTCCAAAGGAGATTGGTACAAACCTCGAAACCACCCCTATAGATACAGAAAAAAGGGAGAATCTCCAGAACGCCATGGGTACAAGAATTAATAACCTGTTCATGTTCAGCAGAATACTCATCCAAGATTCTAACTATCTCACTTGCCCCACCCCCAACTCAAAACGGGATCTACAGGTAGGAGGTCATTGCAAAATGGAATTCGTGTCTGGAATGATGACAGCTAATGTTTGAATTTTTGACTTTTGGAATGAGTATATGATAAAGACTGATTTTATTGGCCAAGTTAGCAGTGGAGACTTTCCTGTAAAGAGGGTTGGACAAGGTTTATCCATTATTTCTGGTCCAAAATATGTCCAGAGGAGGGCACTCAGGAATCTGAATCCTCTTGTGATTAAAAGAAAATGTATAGATTTGTTCCTCAGGAAAATCTTGTTGGTGAGAACTAGCAGATTTTGGATATGGAAACAATCTACTTACTATTAGATCTCTGTTTACTAAGACCAGAGGTAAATCCTTCATTTTTAGGTCATCTGTGCTTCCTTGTTCAGGCTTCAGCTTGGTAGATCTTCATGAAATGTCAAATTTGTTACAGTCTCTGGGTCAAGATTATCACCTCACCAAGAATTTATACTCCTATCAAGCTCTATGAGACTTCAGAACTGGCCACCAAGCTATGTGCCAACTGGAATTCAAATAAAATTTTGCTGAATCCTGTTTGCTTCCAGTTGGAATGGCTAGATGTCACAGCTGGGAAGAGACTTTCCTACTTGTAATATCACTGTAGAAATTTTCACAGTAACTTTTCATCGACACTGATGGCCATCATACCATCACCATTCATTCATAAAGCTACATGTGAGACAGTTCTTTGTTGTCATCAATCCTAGTAGTCTTTGACCTATCAAGCTCTTATGTCAACAAGCTGTGAGACTCAGTCATAGAGGTCTTTCTATAATCTGGGCCTTTCACTAAGGATGACCTTCTTAAACCTGTCTTCTAAAAAGTTAATTCCTTTGAATTTGATAATGTGTCACACATTAAATGCAGTAAAGACATGCACATCAGTGCCCTGGAAATAAAGGATATTTATTATTTTCATAATCAAGGCATGCAAGTCTGAACTCTCTTAAGAGTAAAAATTCTAAACATGCCTGACAATCTGGTCCCCTTATCAAAATGAAGAGATACCATCAATCTTGATTTTGTTGAGAAATCCTCAAGGTTTAAAGTGTCTCTATCTTGAAGAGAACAAGCTGCATAGCTCTGTTTTTGGATATTTAAATGATAATATCTGCTAATGATTTCTTGAAAGACTGAAATTGAGACAGAGATGTGTCTTGGTTTATTGGTCACCTAGTCTAGACTCACTATAAGAGATGACTTGTGTTTTTGCTCCCAATAATAATTTTCCACTCTACTGGAACTGACAGCAGATACCTCAATTATATGTTCCACAGTATCTTCTCTTCAATCTCAAGGCAATGGCTGTATCGTATACCAGCCTTTAGATCTTTTGTCTTCACAGAGTGACTTTGGGAATGGAGTAAATATAAGTTTGAGGGGTCTGAATACATTACCACCTAGTGTTAATTTGCTTGGAAGCCAAAAAAAAAAAAAAAAAAAAAAAAAAATTTCCAGGGGTTGGGGGTACAAACTACAATCTGTAATTTCTTGGTTTGTTAAACATATGTGTTTTTTTATCTGCTTGACCAAGGTGTTTTGGATACTGTTAATGGAATTTAGCACTATTTTACGAGTTTATGTGGTTTCTCTTTCTTCATGCCATAGATCCTGCACAGTAGTGATTGGCATTTTGTGATGTCCCACTTTTTAATAGTTTATTATTGGAAGTTCATTCTTCTTCCTCATCATAATCATATTTAGCACTCTTGTTTTATCTGCCTTTCTTCCTCTTAGTGTTTGTGTCATAGAGGTTAAAGGCATAAATTTCCCTACTAGGAAGAAGTTAATTTGTCAGATAATTTTAGGATACTGTATTGGTCCTGTTTGTCCCTTTTGTAGATTAAACCTAAACTAGTCTTGATACAGATTTAGCAAATTTAGCCAAGTTGTATCTAGAATCAATATTTACCTTTTCTGTATTTTTCAAAGTTTACATCCACTTCTTTAAATCCATGCTAATGCTCAGTTTGAAACTGTCTGTCAAATTGAACTCTAGAAGAACATTGATTACTGAAAAGAAATAAGGGCCAAGAAATCAGACACAGATTTTTGTAGCTATATAGAGTGTGTTGTACCAGTGAAGAAGTCTTGTGTCCTTGACACTGACATTGTAGTTTTCTTTGGTGAAAGAACTAACCACTGGGATGTCATTGGAGACAGAGACCTTAAAAGATTTTATGTGGCTGCACAAAGTGTTCCTGACTGTTTAAGCCTACTTCACACTATTCTGTTCCTACTTTTCCCTTTTTCCCTGAATTAGATGGTATGTCACAAACTTGATGATTTTTGAGATACCCATACTTTCCAAAAACTAAACCAAAATAAATGATACTTGCAGATGCGATTCTCTGAAACTGCTTTGGCTTTTCAATTTTACATGCTTCTACTTTTTCTTCCCCTTTTAAACAGTGATTAAGGAGAAAAATATGTATATATACACACACAAATATATATAACCTAGCACCTTAACCATTTTTTAAGTTAACTATATTCACGTTGTTGTACAGCTCTTCCTTTCTTAAATATTTTTAAAACACATAGGCAACATCGCTATTATGTTCCTTTTGTGATATTTATGTTGCTCAATAATAAAGTGAAAATAACATTACTTAACCACTTCAATTGATAAGCTCAAGTGTTTCCAGAGAATTGAATATTTTGAAAGTGAAAAGGTATTGGGAATCATCAAATGGGTGACTAAATAGGAAACTTAATGAAGGTATCAGACAGTTGAATGGGGATGAGGACAGAATGCAGGAGGATGGGCATAGCTTTTAGTTCTAGATTTGTTTCTTGACTGTAGAAGAAACAATATCCCAGTGTCCTTAGCCCATTTATCTTTTTTAAAAAATTCTTTTTAAAAAATCTCTGGCATACTTGAATGATGATGGTGTTATAAAACTAAAAGTGGGTACTTTGTCAGGAAGACAACCCCAATAGAATATAGAGTTCATAATTAGGTAGTATTCATATTGTGCCTGCCGTGTGCAGAGCCTGGGACAGAATTCTCTATTAGCTTAACATCTGATTTGAAATGCCTCTAGTTTTTTTTCAGGAGGCCTTGAAATAGTTGCAAGTTTAATGATTTGGTATTCTCAAAATGGATGTGTCTAATGATCCTTTTTCTTCAAAATGTTATTCTTGACTAGACATAAAATGTATATGGAGACAATATGATTTCTTATAGTTACTGTGTATAGAGAAATACTATTTCCATTAATTGTTATATGAAGTGCCTTTTTAAATTTCACATTTATGTTTAAAAGTTAAATTTTGAAGTCTTACATATATTGCTGGTGATATTTATGTGAATTTTGTATGGTGATTTAATTTTTTGGTTTATTATCTGTAAAATTGCACTATCTAAATGTACTCTCCTTCTGACTGGTTGTTTTCTCTTAGCACTGTTGATTAATTTCAGAAGGTTGTGGAGTATACTTCCCTCCCCCTTATTTAATTAACGTCACAGAAGTTATTTTTTAGTTTTTAGTGATTTGCCCAGTTTTCTAGGCATTAAGGCAGCTTTGTTTTCTCTCTTTGTGTTCTGGATTTTCTGATTGAATCATTTGTCTCCTATCTAACCTTGTTAGCCATGGTAACACAGCTTATATGTGATAAGTGAATGTTCACTTGGTTAGAAAAAGCAAGGATATTTTTTAAAAAGCAGTAAATTTGCCAACACTTTACACACACACAACATATATACATACATACATATATATATATATTTTAGATGTATGACAGCTTCCTTATCAGTGTAATTACATTATATTTAAATTTTTTTTAAATGGAGTGGCAGCTTCTTTATCAGTATAATTCATTTATTTACTTAGCCCTCAAAATGTCTTTTTGAGGGAAACAAACTCTTTCAGGCTACTTGGATACTGTAGAGTACTCTATATTAGGACTACATTAATAATTTATATTGGACAACACTAATAATTTACTGAAGTGTACCTAAGTGACCTGATTGATAATGTCTTTAAAGGGCCTGACACATCCAGGATAACCTCTCAGGTATTGTAAACAGTGAGGTTGAAAAAGACAAACTTCAGAATCCCTTCTAAATGTAAAGTTGGGTACTGATATGGATGATTATAGGGTTAAATGACAAGTTTATTATTCTTTAAGATATAATTAATTGGGATTCTGATGAAGGTTTGAAATTACAGATTAGATATTTTTAGAAGATTGCAATAACTGAAAACTTTTTTTTTAAATGCAAGGCATATTTTGCCCCAGTTTTTGCACTGTTTTGTGTTCCATTATCTTTTGAAATTTACTTTTATGTACTTAATGTTAGTAGCTATTGTTGTCACATATGCATGTCATTTATTTGGCCAAATCTATTCTATATGGTGTTTAGTACATACACAAACCAACCAGTTCTTTTCTAGTTAAGAAAATATACAGATGGAAGTTATCAGTAAACTGATGACGATTACTATACTGAATGCAAATCTTGCAGTTATTTTTTTCCAATTACAGTAAGCTATGTAAACCATTAAAATATGTCCCTTCCTGTATGGATGATGATAACATTGTTTTATTAAATCTTTTTTTCTTATTAGTGAGATAATGTTTTTGTACTTTGTCTTTTTATTTGCTTTACTGTATTGTAATGAAAGCTTTTTTATAGTAATGCTTGATAACATTGAGATATCTTATTACTGGAAATTATGTTTGCTTCCTGTGAGATATATCCACGTGTGGTCATAGTCCAGTCATGTCCTTATAATGTTAGCATATTACTTATTTTATTCTTTGTATTGATCTTTTCTTCATCTTTATACTATTCTTCTCTTTAAAAGGATGTCCGATCTCTTCTTAATCTCTTTGATGTAGATTATATTTTTTAATTCTACCAGTGTACAGTAGCCAGATTTTGATGTGGCTTTGTATTTGTATACCTAAATACGATGTCTTAGGCTTTATTGTAAGAGATTTTCTAATTTTCCATAATGCTTTTTTTAAAAAAACAAAACAAAAACAAACATATAACCAGTTCAGTCTCAAAGTGTTTTTTGGTTATTTTCATCAATTTTTAATGCGTTCTTTTTTAATGGCAGGCAGTGTTTTCTCATTTCTACATATTCACACAAATGTATTACTTATGGTCAAATTTATTTGAAAAATTTGAAGTGCATTGCCATGGATTCTTGATATATTGTATATTACAGTTCTCTGGTTTTCTCTAGGTCTCGAGGGTTTTACTGTTTTCACTGAGGTAACTTTCAAGTGGCTTATTGGATAGATTTTCAGATGACTTATGAAGAGTTCAGAGTTCTTAAGTTTCTTTTGGAACTTTGACTATCTCTCAAGTGGTCTTGTTTTCTAATATTCTTTGAGTATATTCCTTGGTAAAAGTGAAAGGAACTGTTTTGTATTTAGTGATAATTTTAAAAATTCTACTTTGACCTTAAAGGCTTCAGGTGTTGCTATGTAATAGGTCTCTTACTAGTCTTTTTATGAGACTAATTTCCACATGCTATTTTTTCCCCATAAGCTATCATATGCTTTCTTTTTTCTTTCATTACCCAGAAGAATGGCGCCATTATAGTGTTCAGTTTTAAGGTCTATAAATAGACCTCTTTTTAACTCCCACTTTTATCTGTGATGGTTCCCTAGTTTGATTTATAATGTAGTTATGTGTTACATAACAATCATGTTGTGGTTCCTTTGTCTTTTAATTATTTAGGCAGTAGTGATGTGGATAATGAAATAAAAACATCCCAGCTCATTAAACACAGTTTGAAGTTTTCAATTCCTTTTTTTAAAAAATGTTTTAATTGCATTAAGTAAGTTCTTGCTAATAAGTGTGCAACCCATTCCTTTCTGTATTGGGTAAGAATATAGTTAATATGTTAGTCTATTTTATATTCTTAGCATGGAATTGCCTGTGTTGACATTTCTGTAATGGCTTATAACAACTCCCATGTATTCTGAAACGTCATGGAACCACCTTGATAGCCTTGTGTCCAATCATCATCTTCCTACCTGAGAAGGAAGTAGAAGAAAAAAATCTACTTTAGTAGCACCTATATGTTCTAAACATTCTTGAGATAGAAATTCATCCTTATTTTGCAGTCATTGAGCAACTGTCTCGAGTGTTGTAACTGAGCTTTAATGTACACTTCTTCCAGAGTGTCCCTTAAGCACTGTGCTAGGCTGCCTCTATGTGTTTTTCAAGGCCCTAGACAAGTTTTACCTCTTTGATAAATGCTAACTTTTTTCTTCCTTGAACTTTGTGTTTATTGGTATACTCCCACTCCTCATAACTTGATGTCTTTAGTCAGGAACCCTGTTCTCTGACTTCTGTTTTACTTATTGCTTATTTGTATTTCATTCATTTTTAGACTTTACCATTTGAATCATAATTCCTGTTTTTTTTACTTTGGTCTGTGTTTTTTGTTTGCTGCACTCATTTTGTTTCAGATATATACTGAAAATTTCTTTACTGACATCTTGAGGATATTGGCTTAATGGAAAGAAGATGGAATGGTGCAAATCATGTGGTGTTTGAGTACCTAAGGCCTTGGTCTCAGTAGTAACAAGTCACTTCTTATGCCTTCGTTTTTCTACTCTCAAATGAGGTGATACCTGGAAGTACTTTGAAAACATTTAATCTTAATACAGATTTTCTTTTATAAGTCATTGTGCTATTCTTCTCTACATCCTTAGATTTCTTATAACTGAGGGATGATATTGGATATGGATAATTATATACATTTATAAACATATTTAATAGCATGTGATTGTTCATTTTATGCTATATGATCATGTTCCTCATGTTTACATTTTAAGGCTATATTACAAGCCTAATAATGGACTAAGTCTCTTTTCTGAAGTAGAAGCTAAGAAATGCTTGTGTTAAACAATAAGAATAATAAAGGAGAATGGAGAATGAAGAGCTTGTGTGCATAGGTATGCATATATGATTTTTGATGGATGTTATTTTGTAGTTATGTTGGAAACAGTCATCTTTTCATTTGTCAGACTCCTTTTTCAGCACCTACCTATATATGGAAGGTCTGGGAATACTGAGGGTTAGTAAGACAGTATATTCTCTTAAGAGAAGCAAATAATAAGAGGTAGTGGAAACTGCTTTATTTAGAGGAAAACCTGTGGTGGAGTATGAACAAAAGAAAGGGTCAGATAGAGGAGTCAGGGAAGCTTTTCTTTCTTAATAATGCTTGAGCTGAGTTTTGGGGGATGGTTAGTAAAGAGTTAGTTGATCCAGTGGAGAAGCAGAAGCCAGGCATTAAGATAGAGGGATTATTGTATGCGAAGATGGAAAACATCATGAGGTGTGTCTGGTTTCAGAATTATAAGAAATAGCCTTTAGGAGGATAGAAATGAAGGAAATTAAGCTGAGGAGAAGGGATAAATTATCCATGTGAATGTATTGGTTCCTGCAAGGATACTGTTTGTACTTGTAAGGTTATAGAAGTAGTTTGTCTAGGACTTGGTTTGTATCATAGTCATTCACAGCCACAGAACAGCTTATTCGTTTTTTTCCTGAACTGAACCTAAGGAGAACTCTTAACAGTGTACTTCTGCCCCTGGGGCAGCTTAAATAATGAGAGAAAATTAAGACATTGGTAGAGTGTAACTTTGAAGATGGACAGGATAACTCTGCATAAGTGGAATATGGCATACCTTGTGAATACAGTTAAACACTTCAGTCAGCTGGCAGCATCTCCCTCAGTATAGCCAAATGTGGCCAGTTTCTCTCTGTGTTGATATATGGATAATTTCTGGGTGAACTTGGAAAAAATGAAGATAGTTATAAGAAGGATACTGCATTGACATTTTCCTGGAGTTGAGTTGTAGCAACTGTGAACCTTATGCCAGTGGTTCTCTCCAGCAGCTCCCAAACACATTTTGTCAACTGTTTGCTTTTTCTCCTTTCTTTCCTTGCTATTGTTGCCCCTTTCATGTTTTCTTCCCTATATTGTTTTTGTTTTTTTTCCTTTTTACCCTCCCTGTGCAGGAGGCAGTGCAGTGCAGTGGCACTCAGGGTTAAAAAGTAAATCCTCTTTGTCACAGTGTCATACTGAGAGATATTAAGAAATTCTCTTAAGTTCCAAAGTTGTACTCTTTTTTGTTGTTGATATTGATGGAGGATCAAAGTCATTTTCTTAGGATTTTTACAGAAAGATTGGCAGTTTGATTATCAGAATATAGGAATCTTGTTTAACAGGTTTGGTGGTATTCAGTTAAGCTTTCTTAACTGAATAAAGTACTTTACAGATTGGGGTATATCTGTATGTATGTTTTTCACTCTGTTCACATAAAACAGATGTTCTATGTACTTTGTATTTGTAAACAATAAATAGTAAAGGGTGGGGAAAGGAGATTGCTTTGTAAAAAGAGAGTGTCTTGGTTCAAAAACTTTGCTGCTGGATATGGTAAATAAATATTGTACTGCTTTGCTGTGTTTATCTCTTGTTTTGTCTGTATTTGGATATAAAATTCTTGTGAAAAACTGTTGACCTTCACATCATTATTTGGGGTTATGTTGGTTACAAGAGTAAACACAGTGTTTGGGAGTGCAAATTTCACACCAAACAAGGGACTGAAGCTTTAGAATGGGCAATTAATAAATAGGCTTTGAAATTTGTAATGCATTTATTTTAGGAATTCTTTTCAAAAGAAGTACCTGGTCATGTGGATGACAGGATGATTTGTAAAGCAAATTCCTTACATTTTTTGCAGTTGGTTGCTATTTTGGATTTCCTTTGAATTCAGTTTTCCTTACAAAGAAGATAAAGTTGAGGGAGGAAATAGTCATTCTCTGCCTAGTTACTGCTAGCTGATATTCCTTTCACTCAATCCCGTGCCCATTACAGATTTCTTCTTTCCTTGCTACTGGCTTTTTCAGAGTTCCAAAATTGCCTTTGGTAAGTCAGATAGGAAACTTGGTTTGTTGTGGTCACTTCTTTGGGTAATAGTTTTGCGAAGTACATTTTTCCTATGTTCTGTCACCTGTGTAGTAGGTGGAGTAGAATTATTCTATTTTTCAGGAAGATCCTGTGGATATATTCATACTTCTATTAAAATAATTATGAAAGGCTGGTTGTGGTAGTGCATGCCTGTAAATTGAGCCACTGAAGAGGCAGAGGGTAGAGGATTGACAGTTTTGAGACCAGGGTGGGCAACTAGGTGAGATCTTGTCTCAAAATTGAAAAAAGGCTAGGAATATAGGTTAGTGGTAGAGCACTTGCCTAGCATGCATGAGTCCCTGGCTTCAGTCCTACCACACACATACACACACAAAAAGGTAATTTTGTGGGCTGGGGTTGTGGCCCTGGGTTTGATCCTCAGCACCACATAAAAATAAAATAAAGGTATTTTAAAAAGGAAATTTTGTAAGAAATGTAAAATGTAATCATTTTCATTAAGAACTAAAATGCTTTTAGAGGAGAATATTAATGATTTAAAAATATACCAGGGCTGGGGATGTGGCTCAAGCGGTAGCGTGCTTGCCTGGCATTTTTAAAAAAATAAAAATAAATAAAAATATACCGTCTGTTCACTTAAAAAGCCACCACTAATACAGTGCTACAAGTTACAAAATGATTTCAGTATTGTTTTTTATAGAAATCGCTTTGCAAAAGCAGAATCACTCTTTTTTAAAAAAATTTTTTTTGAGAGAGAGAGTTTTTAATATTTATTTTTTAGTTTTTTCAGCGGACACAGCATCTTTGTTTGTATGTGGTGCTGAGGATCAAACCCGGGCCGCACGCATGCCAGGCGAGCTCGCTACCACTTGAGCCACATCCCCAGCCCCCAGAATCACTCTTATTATGTATTTCCTTTGAGCTGATATTGGCAAATATTTCTAAAGTAACTGAAAAAAGTGACTTAGGGATTCAACTTTTGGGTGAGCAGTTGTATAATGAGTAATGTGAAAGATCTTGCCTGTATTTAATATTTGAGAAAATATGGGACCTTGAATAGTTTTTAATAAAACAATGTAGATCCAGTTTTCTCAGCATTCAACACCAAGGCCTTTCTTTCTTTCTTTTAATATATTTTTTAGTTGTAGTTGGACACAATATCTTTATTTTATTTTTATGTGGTGCTGAGGATTAAGCCCAGGGCCTTGTACATGCTAGGCGAGTGCTCTTCCGCTGAGCCACAACCCCAGCCCCAAATATCAGGGCCTTTCTTAACTACTAAAGGAGAGTTGATTCTGCACCCTAATCCATTTCAGAATTGATAGTGCGCAGTTCAAGAAGAAAGCATATGTAGATTAATTTTAAAAGAAAGTTCACCTGTGAAGTTACTTATGTATATATTAATCTAAGACTAGTGAGAAATTTTTAGCTTCCAGTAAAAATTTCTTTCGGAATGTAATTAGCTTTCTTTTAAATACACTCATTAAAACTTAGAACTTACCTTTGTGATTAGAACAGCTAAGAATATTGTTTCCTATATTTACATTCAGACATCAGTTGAGAAAGGTCAGGTTTAAGTTAAGTAAGTTAATATTTTCAGATTTCAACTTTCAATTTAATTATGCTTTTTTTTTTTTTTTTGCTACTGGGGATTGAACCCAGGGGCGCTTAACCACTGAGCCACAACCCCAGTTCTTTTTATATTTTATTTAGAGGCAGGGTCTCACTGAGTTGGTTGGGACCTTCCTAGGTTGATGAGGTGGCTTTGAACTCTTTTGAACTCTTGATCATCCTTCCTCAGCCTCCCTAGCTACTGGGATTACAGGCATGTGCCACCTCACCTGGCTAATTATGTATATTTTTAATGTTTTACTGTGTACAATGTTAGTTCATGCGCTTTGGGTTTTTTGAAAAAATCATGTGAGCTGGGTGCAGTGGCAAGTGCTTGTAGGTCTGAGTTGCTTGGGAAGCTGAAGAGAAGGTTTCTTGAGCCCAGAATTATGAAACCAGTGTGGGCAACATACTGAGAGCCTGGGATGTAGCTCAGTGGCAAAGCATCTGCCTTACATTCACAAATCCCTGGGTTTGACCCCGAGGTAAAAAAAAAAAAACAAAAACTACTTATGAGCCAGGTGTGGTGGCACGTGCCTACAATCCTAGTAAACTTGGGAGGCTGAGGTAGGAGGATTGCAAGTTCGAGGCCAGCCTCAGCAGTTTAGGGAGACCCTATCTCAAAATAAAAAATCATTGGTGATGTGGCTCAGTATTTAAGTACTCCTGGAGTATAATCCCCTGTACCAAAAACCAAAACAGACATTTTTTACTAAACATTTTTTGCTTTAAAGTGATAATGGTGTTTGTCTTCAAACCTATGAAAATATTTTTTTGAGAGAGGTATTGCTGTGTTGCCTAGGCTTGTTTCCCAACTTGTGGGCTGAAGATTTTTCCACCTCATCCTTTTGAGTAGCTGGGATTATAGGCATGCAGCACTGTGCCTGCCTTTTATTTTTAATGTGTTTCTGTTAGGGTTGGAAAAAATGTAACCTAGTCATTATACCTCCAGGGACAATTTTTTTTTAATTTGTTAAATGAAATTTATCAGTAGATGTCATAAGAAAGCCCTCTTTCTTGCCCAAGTTACACCCTATTTCCAGACTCCAATTTTTTTGCTGTAATTCTTCAAGCTATAATAAAACATAAACATTGTTCTTTAGAACAAAAAATATTCTTTCTTCTTTACTTTGACTTGTAATTGCTTAGATTTCATGAACATGTATACACAGTTTTAACCAGTATCCTAAATTTGAATGTCATTTCTAGGACACACCCCAAATTGCTTTGTACATGTTTTACCTCAAGTTTTAAATAAAAATGTAAAGAAATATACTTGACAATATTAGAATTTCATACTGACTAAACTCCTGACTTTTACATCTTCTTTAATTCTGTGCAGATCTGAGTATGGAGGAAAACTGGTACAGAGTGATCTAAAATATAGACAAATTTTAGAGACATTATTCCCAATATTTTTCCTAAGACTTTCCTATGCTTCTCTCAAGAAATAACTGAATGAATTGATGGCTTATCATTTACTGTAATGTGGATTCTTTAGTATTACTGTCTATCCTACAGAGAAATTAGTCCTGAGTGACTTAATGAGGTAATTCAAAAAGGATGATCCTGGAGCTTCTGTAGCTGCCAGTAATCTAAATGAAACATAAATCCTGTTATGGTCACTATGGATTCAGAGTCAGTTTAGGTCTAGCTTAGGAAGTACCTATGTGATTGCCAGACTTTTCTTAGAAAAGCTCCAAGAACCTAAGTGATAATTCCATCAATAGACTTTGGGGCAGATGACAAATCAAGCTTAAGAAGACCAGTCCTGGAATTTTATTTTATGATTTCATGTTAAAATTACAATTTAGCATATTGGCACTAATGGAATGGTAGGAATTCCCAATCCTAAGAATTGAGTAACCCCCTTTATTTTAGTTTTGTAGGAAGCATTTAAGGTATTTTCATCTACCCTGAAATTAATTTGCATTTTGCCCATATTCCTGACAATACCAAACCTTTGGTTTTGCAGTTGATTTGGTAACAAAATCATGTTAAGTTTTCTTTCCCTTACATTCTGATCATTTGAAATTTGTTTCTGTAGGTTTAATTCTTTAAGTTACCTGCTTTACAGCTGTGCAAAAGAGGGGTTTCTGTGACTTATGGGTAAATTCTCTAACATTTTTATAGCAGTGATCTCTCTGCTTTTTTCAATGCCAATATCTTTTCCCAGAATGATAGAAGAGTATAATTCATTGACATCTAGAGATCACTCCTCAGTATCATTAGCAGAGGAACTTGTCTTTCTGGAGAAAGGGATAGTATTCATATATAAATTTTTACTCATGCCTGACTTATCTAGCAACCTCCATCCATCCTCTATGCAGGGGATTCAGTCAGGACCTCAAGCATGCTAGGAAAGCACTCTTCCACTGATCCACACTTCTAGCCCCAATCAACAGTTTGACCCTCACCCAACCCAGAAGTGTGATGGAAAAATATCATATGACTTTTATAATCTGCTTCATATATACTATGTCCCCCAGTTAAAGAGAAAATTCCTTTTCTCAGTTTTAGAGTGCTAACTTTAATATTGGCAAAGATTTCAAAGTTGAAATGCTTGTTCTCTCTAGTTATCATTCCTTTTTTCCCAGATTTTTCAATGTAGGTAGTCAGAATTTCTTTTTTGGTTGTTTTCTTTTCAAGAAGAAAGTAGAAACTTTCTCCATGGGGAAAAGGAAAAGGAGACCACACTCAGTTCTAAGATGTCTTCTGTTTTCAGACTCAGGGATATGGGTCTTTTCAGCTCTTACAACTTGTAAATGATAATTGGATGATCAGAACTGATCAGAAAGAAATGGTCTTTTTATTGAGATAGAACCATACTGTTAAATAAAAGGTAATGTAGGCTATGGATAGTTAAATAATGGTAGTAAACAATTTAGTAACAATTCTAACAGTTTTACTTAACTTTCAAGGTGTAATGG